AAAAGAGAAGGAGGTGGGGGGGGGGGGGGGGGGGAAGAAAAAGAAGAAAACGCGTTACAGTTCCTCCCGATAGGAGGGGGAAAGGCTGAGCCTGAAAGTGAAATGAGAAAAATATCTCTGGGAACAATCTTGAATAAAAAAGAGTGTCAGATTGACACATCATAAGCAAATCAGTTAATATCCAGTAAATAGAACAAACAATCATAAATCTGGGAAACATCTGCCATTTAAAGAAAAAGAAAAAAAAAATGGTACTATTGACAGGCTTAACTCTAGCTGTCCGTAAAAGGTAAAAGAAAGTCCTCTGACAGAACTTCTGTGGCAGGCTTTGTACTGTCTTGCGGGTCTGTATTTTTAACGATCTGAGATCTTTCACTCTGCTTTGTAATTGTGCCATGCAAGCTCAGAAAACGCAGAAAGGCAAATAAGCAATTGCTTAATAGGAAGATTTGCCAGATTCTAACTTAATCAAACTTGAGATGAGGATCACAGAGCCTGGCTTGCACACGCTCAGGTTTCCTCATCTTCTTCCAGTCAGCACTTAAAAATAAGGCTGAGTTCACAACTTCACAACATTTGGACGGATTTCGGCCAGTTCCTCTTTACGCGGGGACCAGGCTACAGTTCTCCGCCTTTAGGCTTGCAATCTTTACTGTAAATGATCAAGGCGCAGAGATGCGCTGGATAAGCAGAGCAGAGTTACAGTCTTGCATGCCGGTTGTGTTTGTTAGCCGATCGCACTAACATTTACATGCTCTGTGCCCTATTGAATGAAGACTTAGGCTGTTGCGACGCAGACAAAACAAAACGTAATCGATATTTAAGTATGCTTTGCTGCTTCACTACCAAAACCTATTTTCTTTTTAATGTCTTCTCAAATGCACGGCACGGTTGGCTTCTAAGCTGCCGATTTAAAGACCCTTTCCCTTCAGTGAAATCAAAGTTTGTGCTTCTTGCTGTTTAGAGCAAGCCTGATGCAATGAAGAAAGTGCAAGTCCGGGAGGCAGGAAAATCTCAAGGAGATTGTCCCAGCTTTCTTGTGTGGTGGTGGGCAAATCATTAGCCTAATTAGATTAGCCTCAAATTAGCGTTTCAAAGCCAGGGGGGATGCGGGTTTTAGGAGTCCAGGAAGGGCTCTTGGGGAAACTGTTTCCAGAGGTGTTTTGCGCTGACACGGCGCAAGGGAAGCCAATCCTAGACACTTTGTGCCGAGAAATTCCAGTGGGGAAAAGTCGACAGGGTCCTTTTTCAACTGAAATATTTTAAATCGGCTTTACGTTTTGAATTTATTTTTTGTTCAGAGACTGAAAGTCATTTCACTCTGAATTAAATTGAGAAGCAATTTAGGCAACCATGGAGGAAGGGGAGGGAGTAGGAGGCAGAAGATGTAGACGAAAGGAAGACTCACTCTTTTGATGTGATAGTGTCTTTAATCCTACTAAGCATTTAAACAGCAAAATGCCGGTTAAACTTTCAAGCAACTAAATGATGTGCTAATGTCTTTAGATAACCCAGGTGAAGCAGCTAGGGAAATTCTTTAAGGAATGCCATAGTCTCATAAAATCCAAGCTGACTTGAAAGGAAATGAAACCTTAACACTGCACAACCTTAAAAAGTTCAATTAAAATATTAATGCTATTCAGTTATGACACAGCTGCAGCAAACAAGAGGTTCCTCAATAAGTACGAAAAGAAAAAGCATTAACAACTGTGGCAGAAGATGCTTTCCTGAGCAATTTCATTCTACCCATTTCAAAAAAAAGGAGAGCTACATATTCTTGATGCTCTCAGATTATGACTGTGTTATCTATTTGCCAAAAGTAAAACTGAAATGGTACAATTTGATCACAGCATTTTGTTCATGTGGTTGCATATTACATTTTGGTTTGAAAAGGATTTGGGTCTTGGTTTTTTTTTACTATTCACCAGGATAAGATACAGCATTTGTGTTATTCAATAAATTGTGTTCCAGTAATGTTTTCAAAATGAATGGGCTTTACTAGGGATCTAAGGAAATTAACAATTTCTGTTCACTGAAACTGATCCAGTATGTGCAGTTTTCTGTGAGAGAAGTTCCAAACAGGTGGAAGGGAAGTTGTGCCAGGAGACAACCTATCAACTACAGCCTTCTTGCATTGTCTCATTAGGCATCTTGGAAATACAGCCAATAGGAATTAGCACTACTCCACGCTGTTCAAAAACCTTCTGAAGAACAGCTATAAGTTTAAAATACAGAAAAACAAAGAAGAATTTCACGGCTGAAGTGACTGTATCATTGAAACCCATCCCTTTCACACAAGCACATGCATTTCACTCTGAGGTCCACTTCAGAATCCCTGCTCCCACCTTTCATAAAGCACAAAATGTTTCACAGTACTTTAACAAATTTAAGCTTTGTACCGTAAAAGACCAAAAAGCTGTAAGTAGGGAACAGAAAAGTTTAAAGCCATTGCTAGTATTGTAGCTGCATAGCTCTCAGCCAAACTGCTCTGGATCAAAATGAATGCAAATTGGACAATCTGTTTAGTCCTGTCTTTGTAGACAAGATGAACCAACCAGCAATCTAAATGACTTTTAGCACCAGTAGCAGAACTGTTCCCTCTATCCTATCTCTAGTTATGGCCAGTTTGTGAAGCTGTGCACTTCCAACTCATTTATACGAAGAGGGGGAAAAAATCCCCCTTGCATCCTTCAGTTAGTCTGCTCAGAATCACTACACTACGAATTCAGTGCAATAGCACAATAAGGAAGCCTAAATTTCCCATTTCTGGATCACCTATGTGCCATCTCAGTATTTTATCCCTTTTGGGGCATGGAGGTGGGCTGGCTAGTTGTCCATGCAGTCCTGTCCAGCCAGCTCAGAGCTGGCTAGCTGTGGCCCACTAGGAGCTGTGCAGCACTGAGACATTCCAGTAGTTCTGCAAGAATCAGCTCGGGTCTAACAGAGGTAACAGCATCAGCACAGCACTCAGCTTCAGGGCTAAGTTAGGTCCTGCAAGGTACTGAGACGTCTCTCAACCTGCTCCTTAACACTACCAGTTCTGCAAACACAGAACAGTGACACCCGAGGTCAGGCCTGGAAAGATCTGCTAGCTCTGGTGCCAGTCATGCCAAAGCAGCAGTGCTGCTTCATGGCTTTAACAGGTCTTGGGAGTGGTACAGCTAGGTTCACATGCTGCTAATTCAGCTTCTGGTGGCTATGCACTGAACCCAGTCAAATTTCTGTTCCCTCTTCACTGCATAGTTAGAACCAGATCAATAATCTGG